CTCCAAACGTGCCCCCGAGGTAATCATCGGCGAGGCCAAAGCAACGCGGACCTTGTGGGCTCCAAACACCGAAGTGGCCACTCCTGCCTGCTGCAATACCCATTTTAACCAACGAGCCATGGTAGTACTCGTCACCAGGGAAAATGGAGGTTGAAAGGATAGAAAAAGATGAGGGGTAGATGTCGACGGATGCGGTCCAGTGTGAATCTCATAATCACATAAACAAGCCACTGGACACAAAGCTGGATCCGAAGGGAAAGCAGGATAAGAAAGTCTTCGTGCGTCTGGATATATTAAAAGTCACCCCGTCAGGAGTGAAGGAACGAGTGTCGAAATCCAAATGCACGAACAACTGAAGCCCTCTTCCAGGATACCAGGCAAAAGAGAGTGACCAATTTCACCATCAATTGGCATAAGGAAAGGTCTGCATTAGATGGCCACGAGGCCAACAGCGATAACACGATGGACACATGCCAAGTACAGGAACACCGTGGTCTAGCTGGGCGACATGGGAGCCGGAATACCAAAGGGTGTTGTCATGCCGAACAACCCTCAAAACCCTGATGGGCCGAAGAAAAGGCTGATCTATATACGTTTATCATCCAGCACACTCGGCCAGCTTCAAACAAAGACGTGAGAAATTGGAGAATTGCCTTTACAGGGGTTGAAACGGGATCCACGTCCCTAGCCAGGCACCAGCCAGACCAAGATCACCAAGCTCACCCATTTCGATCTTCAAGTTCCGGGAGCCCATGCATCCAAAACGCCTGAAATCTGCCAGGGTCCCCTGAAATCTGCCAAGTCATCAACAGTAGGGAGCCTACCAAGAGGAGAGGATGGTGACGGTCTGCCGATCCCAAAGCAGCTCCGGACAGTTCAGCAACAACCTGGGAACATCCACTGCCATCTCCAGAATGGGGTTAATAGGACCAGCTCTGCAACTTGGCGGTGAACCTTCAGCAGCACCCTGGGGAGCATGGCAAATGGAGTGAAAGCGTAGAGAAGAGGGCCAATCTTTTAGAAAAGCATCCACCGCCTCTGCAGCTGGATCCAAAGCTGAAGGAACAGGGTACCTGGGCATTTAGTCAAGAGGCAAACAGTTTGATGGCCAAAGGACCTCAGAGGGACGAGATAGTGCAGAATACCTCTACTTCCAATCTCCAATAGCCGCTGTCTGTGAGATACCGTGAATTCCAGTCTGCCTGAACATTGTGCAAGCCGGTACGTTTTCCGCTTGGACCACAAAATTCTGTGCTAGGAAAAATTCCCAGGAATCCATTGCCAAGTGTGCCGCCCATGTGGTTAACATATCGAACTGCTGATATGTTGTCCATCTGGAGTCGAATGCAAGTGTTGGCAGTGCCTTTTGCGAAACTCCAAATTGCAAAGGATCCCGCCAGGAGCTCCATAGGATTGATGTGCATTCTGGATTCGCTCTCCGGCCAGCATGCTCTTGTTGACACACCCTCGCAGTGGGCATCCCATCCATGGAGGCTTGCATCTGAGTCTATAGTGAATTCCAGCTGCGATCCGAATATGGCCCTGCCGTTTCATGCACAAAGGTTGTGAATCCACCAACGCAATTTGTCCTTCGTTTCCTTGTCTAAGTAGACCAGATCCGCATATGACTTTATCTCGCGAAGATGTGCGATCTTCAATCGTTGAAGCACCCGATAGTGAAGAAGAGCTGAGAACACTGCTTGTATCGATGATGCCAGTAGCCCGATGGGTCTCACCAAGTGTTGCAGGGTGATGTGGTCGGGTAAGAGCCCTGTGAAGCTTCTTGCGGATCGTTCAAATTTTGGACGTAGGCAGGCTCAGGGAGTCTTCTTACGAGTCAACAAGGAAACCCAAGAATTCCATGGGTCTGGACAGACTCAGACAGGATTTCTCCCAGTTGATGAGAAAACCCAGCCAGGTCAATAAATCCACAGTCCATTGCAGCTGCTGCTGGAGAACGGAGCGGTCCTGAGCCATAATCAGAATATCGTCCAGATAAAAGATGAGGCGTACGTCCTGACTGCAGGCCATTGGTGAAGCAGCTTGGTGAAGCACCAAGGTGCAGAAGAGAGACCAAACGGAAAGGCAGAAACGTAGGAGGTCCCTCGAAGCTGTGTCCACTGGCACCGTCAGGTACGCGTCTTTCAGGTCTAATTTTGCCAACCAATACCCATGTAGGAGTAGGTCTCTGAGGAGATGGATACCCTTCATCTTGAAGTGCCAGTAGCGTACCCTGGAGTTGAGCGGGCATAAGTTGATCACCAGGCACATCTGGCCACCTTTTTTTCTCCACCAGGAAAATATTGCTGATGACCCCCTGATGGGTGTAGAGGGGCCAACTCTATAGAATCCTTGGCAGGTACAATTCCTCGTCAATCAACCTGAGATCCCGAAGGGATAAACAGATTGGTCTAGGGGTAGGGATGCAATGGGGTGACCCCACTAACTCTATGTGAAACCCCTTTACCGTGTCTAGAACCACATGTCTGATGTGATAGATGCCCAGGCTGGGAAAAAAGACAGAGTCTGCCCCCTACACAAACAGGAGAAGAAACATGTGGTAGAGTTAAGCTTACCGTAGGGTCGTCTGCCACCAGAATTTCCTCTGAATCCCTTGATCGCCACGGTCAACCCCGGGATGGGAAGATGGGGGACCGGGAAGCAGGAGCACTGATTGAAGGAGCCTCTTCCCGGAGTGAAGCATTGACGCTGCAAGCAATACAAATGGTCCTTTGGACCCAACCGCGGAGTTCCTCCGGGTCGACCTGCCTGTTATCGGCCCTGACGTCCTCTGCCAGATCAAAAAACTTGGCCAGGGGCCCAAAGATATCGAGGTGCTTGTCCTGGTACGATATGAGTGCCAAGTCTCTTGTGTGAATTGGACATGCTTTCAGGAGCACCATGAAACATTCGTACTGTTTCTGGAGGTAGATGGGGAAACATGCTTGGATTTATGGCTAGCCTTTTTAGGTGCTTCCCCAAGGGAATCCAACTCAGGACGCGGAGCATGCGTCGAGGGATCCGTGGGCTCTGTGTCTGAGGGGCGCGCCAGTAATGCCTGTGAAATAGTTTGGGACAAAGCAAAGGACATAGAGCACATAGCGGCCATAATGGCGTCGGTAACAGACCTCTGGAGCGCCAAGGACTGTACATCCACCCTGCGGAGATCAGAGTCCCCTGTCAAGGGGGTGGGGGGAGCCAGCTGCAGATGGGGCATCACCCAACAATAGTGGGGTATCCAACTTCCTGGGGGCAAACAGGCACTTTAGGCTTATACATGTTAAATAACAATTATGACCCACAAATTTATCAGTACTGCAATATAGGAGAATACAAATGATTAAGGAATAAATTAAGTAATCAGTGAGGGTTAGTCACCCAAATTAGGATGCCAGAAGGGACAGAGGGAGCTCATCAGGGCCCAGACCAGCAGCTAGAGACACGAGATAGGAAGAGGCAGGAACAGGCAGAAAACTGGAAGGAAACTCAGTGAAAATCATGAGATTGTGGTGAAAAACCTGCGCATTCACGAGGAAAAACTCCAGAACAGGTGAATTTGGCCCACGACCAAAGTGCTGAAAGCCTCTATTAAGACCAAGCACTAAACGGCCGCGAAAACCACAGATGGGTCGAGTTCGAAAAATCTAAATGCAATGGGAAATATACGAACAGGCGTTCACCTGCGTACGCCCGGACCCAAAATGGTATGTATACATTGCCACACACAGATACACACATATGCGCACACATTTAGAATCAAACACATACACAGGAACACAGACACACAGGTACATATACACACTGACACTCAGGTACACACACACACAGAGGCGTAACTAGAAACCACGGGGCCCCGGCGCAATAAATTGCACTGGGGCCCCCCATAGTCTACCCCCACCCCATAGGTCCCCGCCCCACATATCTACCCCCCACCCCATACGTCCCCACCCTCCCACACATGCAGCCAAACAGATACACATGTAGACACACACATAAACAGATACACACATACAGGCACACATACATGTAGACACACAAATACATACACATACATACAAACACACATACATACAGACACACAAATACATACAGACACACACACAGACACATACATACATACAGACATACAAACACATACAGACACACATACATACATACATACATACACACACATGTAGACACACACACACATACATACAGACACAGTTGTTTTTTTACAAACTGTAAGTGAAAATAGCCAACTTCTTAACTCAAAGCAATTTTTTAACTCAGCTGCTCTGGCCTAACATTTGTCCAACAATAACTATTTAGTTTAACTGAAAGGAACATCTTTCAACAATCCCTTTTCAATACAACAACATAGACAATTTGCCACGTTGGTGCTGCCAAGTTCTCAAAAAGTTCCAGTATTTCATGTAGAGACCTGATGCAACAGAATCACTGCACAGGTGGCAGAAGATAACAGCGTAAGATAGATTCAAACAGGTTTATGTGAAAGATAGGCTAATGCTCTGACGCAGTTCAAGTTTCGAAATAGTTTTGTTATTGTATCAATTTGACCACGTGAGTTGTCAGACCATTTATGGATAATAAACTGTATTGCACCTGAAAATACAGTTTTTTTTAAATCAAACCAGTTTAGGTTATATCACAGAGTCCAAGTCGTTATATCACATTAGATCCCCAGATCATGGAGCTCAGGTCATTATTATTATTATTGGTATTTATAAAGTGCCAACTAATTCCGCAGTGCTTTACATTATTATGAATTTATTTACAGTAAATTAGACAATTACACAGTGACACAGGAACAATAGGTAGATGAGGACCCTGCTCAAACGAGCTTACAGTCTAGAGAAGGTGGGGTACAAATACACAACAGGGCAGCAAGGGTGACAGCCACCAAACAAGGTGAAAAAGTATCATAACTGGAGGAGAGTGGGGAGTATGGCTCTTTAGGAGAACAAGATACAGATTTGGATAAGTATAGATAAGTTACTCTGGGAGTCCATAAGCATTTCTGAACAGATGTGTTTTGAGGGACTTCTTAAACAATTGAAGACTAGGGGAGAGTCTCATGGGGGTAGGCAGGCTGTTCCAAAGGAAGGGAGCCACCCTCAAGAAGTCTTGCAAGAGAGAGTTAGCAGTAAGGGTGCGAGCAGCGGACAGGAGAAGCTCACTAGCAGAGTGGAGAGACCGGGAAGGGGCATATCTATGAATCAAGGAAGAAATGTAAGAGGGGCTAGAGTTGGTTAGAGCTTTATAGGTAAGGCTTAGTATTTTGAATTGACACATGTAGGGGACAGGAAGCCAGTGTAAGGATCGACAGAGGGGCGAAGTATGGGAGGAGTGAGAAAGATCAGCCTGGCGGCAACATTCGTTACCAATTGTAGCGGGGCATTTCGGCTTCGGGGGAGACCAACAAGGAGAGAATTATAGTAATCCATGCGAGAGATAACCAGAGCGTGCACAAGCTCTGGTAATTATTTCACATTAGATTTCTAGATCATGGATCCCAGGTCATTATATTACATTAGATCGCCAGATTATAAAGCCCTAGATACCATGTCACTTTAGGTCAGCCAGTCCAGGTTATTATAATAAAAATGTGCATTTGCAAGATGATCCGATCTTAGAATTTGCTTTGTCATACCAGATGTAGAATGTGCATCGTTAATTTAGGGAAGGACTATATCTTTAATTTACTACCTTTCCCATTGTTTCAGGTTTATTATGATACATTCAGCACTTCCTATTCATCCATAAGTGGTTAAAATTAGGTATCATATGTTTTTACGCCTTCTCAATTTCTTCAATTTACAATCCACATCAACTTCTCCATGTTTCTTTAACCATTTGATTTTTCCATGAAGTGGATTATAATTATTTAGGTGGCATGTTTTTTTGTGGATTTTGTTTAGACGTTGAAATGTATCCACTAAGGGTCTAAATTTTAGGTCTGGTCACACTGCACTGCTAGAAGTAGTTACTTCAGATCTGACCTGTAAAATGTAAAAAAAAAATAATTTCAGATGGTTTACAAATCTGTTTCCAACTCTTCTCTTGTGGCATCTATTTTGCAAGACATTACATGCATCACCACAACTCTCTGACTAATGAGCACACGCCTAAATTCAGACGTCAGAAGCAAAATTTGGCTAGTGTTGTGCTACCTAAATAGCCCATAAGTCTCAATTATTTAATAACATGCTAAAAGAAACATTACCACTCAATAAGCATGTACCATATTACAGGACAAAAATGGCAAGACGTGGTGTAGCCAATCACAGGAGGACATTCTGCAACAATATGGGGCACGTATCACGTACCTGCTTCCCAGCATGCTTCACACCAAGTCAGTTTGCATTTGCATTGTTTCGAAAGCTTTATTTACAATTCCTTGTTTCAGATTAACTGGTAAAATAATTAAACTTTTAATAGGTCTGAGGTTATTAAAGTAGGTTCAGTCATGTAATGTATTGAAAGTACAGCGTGCAGTAATTCTCTGTACCTTTGTTAGGGTAGCCCCCATTATTGTAGGAAAATGAATAGCTTTTAAAAACTGTAGACTAAAATAAACAGTCATTCTGAACTATTGTGGCTACAGGACACGTAAAGTGTTCCAGTTTTATTTAGGACACACAATATTTGGAAACGACAAAGGAGTCATCATTTTAAAATTTTTCCTCTTGGCTGTAATGTGTCAGCAGACAGAATTATGTTTTTTTTATATACTGTTGTGTATATTTATATATATATTGGTGATTTATTTACATATACATTTTAGTGGAATAAAGTTTTCAAATGTTTTACATAACAAAAAACAAACGTATTCAGTGATACAAAGTAACACAATATTTGTCACTTGATGTAATATATTATACAGTGCTGTCATGTACATTAAACAAGTAGAATAAAAAACAAAGGTACAGTCAGTAAAGGTCTGATTTTAGCATTAAAGATTAAAATCTACATTAAGGTTTTTTTTTTCCCCTCAGTTTAGCAAATGATTTAAAAACGAACACGTCAAAGCACACAGTTTGTGTTTATTTCCCCGATAAAAGAGGACTCTAGATTTTATTCTGAGAGGAAACAGATGTTCACAATGCTGCTGCTAAACAGGTATTTCTTGCTAAAGTCAGATAAAGGTGCAGTCCCCTTTAAGATCAAACAAAAATAGTAAGAATATGGTAAACAGATTACTGGGCTGGAAATATGTTACCAGAGATTTACACATACAGCGGTAGTATAATCGGTAATTATTCCAAGCAGGGCCGGACTGGGAGAAAAATTCGGCCCGGGCATTTTTTTAACACAGCGGCCCACTAAAAAGGGGGCGGGGCAGAGGAGGTGTGTTTTGTCATCACCAATGACAAACACGCCTCCTCTCAAAGTGAGCACGTTGGTTCAATGCTCTTCCAGGGCAGACCATGCGCACAGCTCTGCTGAAGAGCTCTAGCATGAGAAAAAAGTCCTGTATTTGTTCTGCACAGTGCAAGCAAATTTAATAACATGCTTGCACTGTGTTTCCTTGCAACTTGTCTCTGGTGTCTCTATAAATGGATACCAGGAGACAAAAGGCCAGGAAAGAGTATTGTGCATGTGTTTGGAGCCTGCTTGTGGTATTGCGTGTGTGTAGAGTGAGCTGGTCGTGGTGTGGTATTGTGTAATAAGGTCGGTTTTAGTCGTGTTGTGTTTGTGGTGTAATGTGATGCATATGTGGCTCAGGAACCCCCTCCCACACGGCTCTGGAAAGGGGTTAAAACTTACCTTTTCCAGCGCCGGGCGGGGAGCTCTCCTCCTCCGATCCGCCCCGTCGGCTGAATGCGCACACGCGGCAAGAGCTGCGCGCGCATTCAGCCGGTCGCATAGGAAAGCATTTATAATGCTTTTCTATGGACGCTTGCGTGCTCTCACTGTGATTTTCACAGTGAAAAGCACGCAAGCGCCTCTAGCGGCTGTCAATGAGACAGCTGCTAGAGGCTTTGGGGGAAGGCTTAACCTATTGATAAACATAGCAGTTTCTCTGAAACTGCTATGTTTATAAAACAATGGGTTAACCCTAGAAGGACCTGGCACCAAGACCACTTCATTAAGCTGAAGTGGTCTGGGTGGCTAGAGTGGTCCTTTAAGAGTGTAGTGTGTGTGTGCATATATATATATATATATATATATATATATATATATATATATTTGGAAGTATTGTGTATGTGTGTGGTGCAGTGTGTTGGGGGGGTTCTGTGTGTATGTGAGGGGTGCAGTATGTGTGTGTGTGAGGGTGCGGTGTATGTGTGTGTGTGAGTGCGGTGTGTGTGATGTGTGTGAGAGTGCCGTGTGTGAGTGATGGGTGTGAGAGTGCTCTGTGAGAGTGCTGTGAGAGAGTGCTGTGTGTGTGTGAAAGTGCTGTGTGTGATGGGTGTGAGAGTGCTGTGTGTGTGTGAGTGCTCTGTGAGAGTGCGCTGTGTGTGATGGGGTGAGAGTGATGGGTGTGAGAGTGCTGTGTGAGAGTGCTGTGTGTGATGGGTGTGAGAGTGCTGTGTGAGAGTGCTGTGTGTGATGGGTGTGAGAGTGCTGTGTGAGAGAGTGCTGTGTGTGATGGGTGTGAGAGTGCTGTGTGAGAGAGTGCTGTGTGTAATGTGTGTGAGAGTGCTGTGTGTGATGGGTGAGAGTGCTGTGTGTGAGAGTGCTGTGTGTAATGTGTGTGAGAGTGCTGTGTGTGATGGGTGAGAGTGCTGTGTGAGAGTGCTGTGTGTGATGGGTGTGAGAGTGCTGTGTGTGATGGGTGAGAGTGCTGTGTGTGAGAGTGCTGTGTGTGATGGGTGTGAGAGTGCTGTGGGAGAGTGCTGTGTGTGATGGGTGTAAGAGTGCTGTGGGAGAGAGTGCTGTGTGTGATGTGGGAGAGAGTGCTGTGTGTGATGGGTGTGAGAGTGCTGTATAAATGTTATTGTGTGTGTGTGTGTAGGGGGGGGTAAATAAAATAAAAATAAAAAAAAGTCATTATTTCCCCCCCTCCCTTCTTACCTTTAGCATGGGAGGGGGGGGGACCGGCACGCTGGGACTGGGAGGGGGGGTCCGGCACGCGGTGTTCCCTGGTGGTCCTCGTGGGTGAGTGAACTCTAGCCCGTGAGGCTAGAGTTCACTCTCGCGAGATCCGGTCGTTGCCATGGCAACGCGCCGGATCTCGCGAGAGGAACCCGGCGGAGCTGCAAGTTAGAGCTCCGCCGGGTCCTCTCTCCAGCCTGGCTGGCTGTCTCCCTCCCTCCCCCCCGCCGGCGGCCGCATGTGGGCCGGTCAGGGAGATCCTTGATCTCCCCACCGGCCCGTCGTGGCAAACAGCGGGGCCGGCGCTAGGAGAGTGCCGGCCCTGCATAGACCGGCAGGGGAGATCCTGTGATCTCCCCTGCCGGCCTCGGCCCATGGCCACCGCGGCCCACCGGGCATTTGCCCGGTGTGCCCGATGGCCAGTCCGGGCCTGATTCCAAGTCTCTGCTGATCCCCTCGCTGTACAGTCCTGAATACTGGAACTTAAAGTGGCTCTATAATGGATATATTTTTACATTCCCCCCGCCCCAAAGTCTTACATCTTCAGTGTCCCCAATTAGTGTTTATTTGCTCCCAATTCACCCCCCTGTACCTTAAACTTTGCAATCTTTTTTGTGCCGGATCGTCATTCCTGGTGCCGCCATCTTCTAATTGTTGGCAGTGACATGATATGCGAGGTGTGTGAGCACTTTGGAGTTTGGAGACGTGCGCGCATGACCAGTTAACTGTGAGTGATAAAAATTGAACTGGGCATGCACGATGCTCAAAAATCGAACATGGTAACTGAGGAAGAACAGGATAGAGGTGAGTATTTTGGGAAAGTAATCTTGCCAAAGGAAGCGGAGCTTGCCTTAATCTCCACCCCTTTGTCACAACTGTTAAGCATAGGAAAAATACATAAGACAAAGTAGTCCTTTCTTTGTCATATGTTTTAAAAAGAAATAGATCAGAAATGAAGAAAATAAGAGCAGATTGGGAAAGAGGAAGAGGAAACAATAGGAGAAAGGTAAGTTTGAGGTGATAGAGACACTTTAATAAATAGGCAATAATAATAAAGTAGTTATAATGTTTAAAGAAACACAACGTGAAGACAGACACAATGTGCAATTAATTAATGATGGTAAACAGATACTGGATGTCTGTACAGTGTAGCGGAAATAAGAACATTCAGCGATTACTGTCTTCTCAGCTGTGTGTTAGCAATTGTAGACATTGTGGGTTATTCATGAAAAATACACTTCCTGTACTGTCTTTTACACTAAAATACCTTCATGGTTCTCCAACTCAATTCTACCAGATGTATGCCTTCCGTGACAAAATTCCTTATTTTTACTATCCCTATCAAAGCAACACTCCATGCACCATAACCACAACAGTGTGCTGCAGTGGTTATGGTGTCTGGAGTGCACTGGCGCTATCCCAGTGTAAGGAGTCAAACTATTTTAGTTTGGCTCCTTAACCATTCTGCTTAACTGGGGTCCATGGGGAACCACTCCCTGCCTCCACTTCTTCCTAAGGAGAACTAGACTCTGCCTAGCAAGATCTTTCATTAGTTCTCCTAGCTAAGCAATAAAGGGCTAGTTCATTGGCTGAGAGCATCAGCTGATCACTTTTATCTGATGAATTAAGCACCTCCAGGTTTAGCTCAGATATATCTATGGGCCCCCAGCTGACCCCAGGTTAGAAGTCATACTAAAACGGTGTGACTATTAATAATGGGATGGGCAAGGGAAGTGATCTATGTAGTGGTCATGGTGCTTGGAGTTTATTGGGCGCCCTGTGGAGCCATCTAGTATGCTGCCCAGGTTTAACATGTTACAGTAGTAATAAACATGGACGTCTTTCGGTTCAGTACAACAGAGATGGTGGGACTTGGATTCATCAGGGAATTTTGGTGATTCCTGAATGAAAATTATAAACTCATAAACTAGCGGATCGGTCAACTTCTGGTCATTCAAAAAAATCCTCATTAGGGGCGGTGCCTGTCCATCAATGGAACCAGACATGTGAGCAATGATCTCTCTCTCCCCCGGCATTATATCTGCAAATGATATTCCACATCTCAACACCCTCAGGCACGCAGACACCCCCTAAACTCCATACCTGATGGGAGGCAACAAGAAAAAAAGGGATTTGACACCCTCAGTTGCCAAGATGTTCCAAGCACCTAAAAATCTCTGGCCGCCATCTTTGTCACAAGGCCTAACAGGCTCAGACTCCGCGGACAGTGAAACGCACATAGACCCAGACGCCCCACTGACAAAAGGGATACCTCCACAAACTGCTAAAAGAAGCCACGAGCGACATCAACGCATGTACAGCAGCAGAACTAGAAAAATAGATTACAGGCCTACGAGACGATCTTGAAGCGCTTGCTTCTTGGACAAGCAAGGCCGAAACTCACCTCTCCAAAATCTCCAACAGATCCCAATTTCACGGCCAAGAACTCATCCGACTAAATGATAAGATACAACAACTTGAAGACGGTCTGGAAGAACTTAATAACTACTCACGACGGAATAATATAAGGCTCCACGGGAATCTGTGACAGCAGACATCTTGCTCCCTACTATAAGGGAAATGTTTCAGTCTCTGCTCCCAGATGCATCCGAACAGGAGCTCACCATAGAAAGAGTCCATAGGGCCCTGCACCCCCCAGTACTAATCCCCACGGCACCATGAGATGTTGTAATAAAATTGATGTATTTCTCCACAAAGGAAAGCCTCATGTTCCACGCTAGAGCGGACACCCACCCCCCCAGGCGCAAGGCCGCACCATCCAGTTCTTTCAGGATTTGACCCTCTCTACCCTGAGGAAAAGAATGAAGCTCAAGCCACTGACCAGCCTTACGCAACAGGGCTGGCAATACATGTGGGGGCACCCATTCCAATTAATCGCCGGGAAGGACAACTTGTCCCACACGCTGCTCCACGTGGCCGACATGGCGGATTTCACTACTACCCTGGACATTTCACTACAGCCAGAAGCCAACCCTGTAGACTCAACGCAGGGAGCTACGCACACCATAAGAAACCACTCGCTACCACGCTACCAGCAACCCAGAAAACAATAATCCTCTGCCCCCTGGGGTCTGCTGCATCAAGTGACCCAAAGGGCAGATGGCGAGACCTAATAACATACCTACATAACGGCCGTTCCTCTACACCTAAAACCACAGGTTCCTTCTCTGGTGATGTTATGGGACTAACCCCAAATTCTAGATGCCAATACCCTATTCCTAACCCAGTAGCCTAGGACTTAGCCTTGCCACACACAATTATTAATGATGCTGCAATGCCAGTCCAAAATCGGTTATCAGTTATGTTAATCCTAATTTCATTTAAGGTTTATTACTTGTTTAAAAGTGTGCACACTGCACTGTATGTTAAATCAGGATGCTGTCATGTACCATACGTCATGTACTATACTCCACAATTTTCAGTGTATTGTTACAAGACGATGTTATGATGTATTTTTCAAATGTATATAGAATATAGAATGCACACTATAACAATCTCAAAAAAAACTTTGCTTTATTATGTACAAAAAAGTACCAGAGTGAAAACATATAAGAAAAGATAAACAAAGTGACAGAAGCAAGGGCAAACACAATAAAACAATAGTAAATTACCACAAAAATTCTTACAAGCCTCCAGACAGAAACACGAGTCACCAAACCCCCCAACGTTTCGGCACCAACTGGCTGCCTTTTCTTATATATTTTCACTCTGGTACTTTTTTGTACATAATAAAGCAAAGTTTTTTTTGAGATTGTTATAGTGTGCATTCTATATTCTATATACATTTGAATATTTAAAGCACTTGAGGGAGTGTTTATATGGTTTGCACCTGGCTGTTCTTATACTATTTTGTCTCTCCATGTGCTGTTGTTTTGAGAATGATGTATTTTTCACCCTTTACTGTACAACTGAAAAACTTTACAAAACTTTACAAATAAAGAATATTTTTTTTTTTTTAAATACTCATCCTAAAGCCTCCAGGAATGGTTGAGAAGTTTTGTAAATCCTATATTTACTTATTCACACTCCATTCCACATAGGAAGAGGAATAAAAGGTTGTCGTGTGATCCCTTGTTCACATATTTATCTAAACATTTTATCCATGAGAGCACACAGTATGTGCTCACTGATCATGGGTTGAAATGTTAAAATTCTTTCTTTATTTGCCACCAGACTTGGACATTAATGTAATTTGTTTCATATCGGACTGCAATGTCCGATTTGTGCAAATTGAGTTCTCAAACTCTGAGCCGAAACATAGTTGAATCATGAACTAAGTGAACCACAGAATGGACAAGCGCGTTCCTTTTGATTTGCGATTCTATAAAACTGCAATTTGTATTCCTGCTGCTGTAGTATTCCTTTAGGTTTACCCTGCAGGGCACCTTTAACAACTAATTTGTATAATGAGTTTATAATAAAAAAAATCCCCCAATATGTTACTTTCACTAATATGAGAAAAATTGTAGTTTCTAAATTTAACATCAATTTAGAAATGAGTTTTGACCTAAATTGTAAAAGTCCATTGTGAATTCAGAATGACGCATTATCACGAGAATAAAGCCCAAAGTATATAGAGGGATGAGCAGCAATTCTGATTTTACACTGTCTTGGCTATTAATGGGACTACAATATTTATCTCTAATTTGGTCAATCAAACCATGTCGCTAATGCAAAATAAAGTACTTTGTTTATAGTCCTAACACAGTTGCCCCATCTATACAGAAAGAATAACTGTAAACTCACATAATAATTTAATAGTTGGAATGAAAGCAACCGAGAGGGACACATCTAATACATTAAATAAATGATAGTATAAAAAAAATTGTAACAAAGTAAAAAAGGTTGGCTTGTTCTCCCTGTACTTTTACATTCCAGAAGACAAAAACTCTGAGCGATGAACGCGCAGTTAGAGAAAATAAATGAGTGGGGCTTGCATCTCCCATACAGCCCGCCAAATAGTTTATCGCATTTTTGTTCAGTGGT